TGTATCCACAACAACCGAGTGATTTTCCTGCATCCTCTCTCTTTAAAAATCATTTTGAGGGACGCCTGGGTGGCTCAGTCAGTTAAGCGTCTGACTTCAATTCAGGTCATGATCTCACATTTCATGAGTTTGAGCCCCACATAGGACTCTGCACTGTGCCACAGAGCCTACTTCATGCCCTCTCTCTCCCTCTATCTCTGCCTCCACCCTGCTCATGCTCTTCTCTCTCTCAAAAATAAATAAACATTAAAAAAATAAAGACTTTAGAAGTCATTTTGATACATCTCTTTTTAGTTCAACTACTATTACTTAATTGATGAAACATGTGCTGTTAGTAAGGTCTGATAGAATGATAATTCCTAAGGTAGTGTTTTTCTAATACAGATGGTTGTTCTATAATTCTTGTACGTACGTCGTTTCCACTTCAGTAGACCCTGTAGAATATTGATGATATATTGCATTTTGCTTCAAGAAAAAGGTCCATTATTACTTAAATTATCATTGAACCTTGACATGACCAAATGGAAACATTTAGAAGAGTAAAGACCATTTCTATACCCTCTGAGCTGCTAGTAGAAATCAGTAAAAGTCCCCGGGCGCCTGGGTGGCTCAGTCGGTTGACTGAGCCTTGATTTCAGCGCAGGTCATGATCTCATGGTTTGAGAGTTTGATCCCTGAGCTGGGCTCTGTGTTGGCGGTGTGGAGCCTGCTTGGGATTCTCTCTCCTTCTCTTTCTTTTTCTCTCTTTCTCTCTGCCCTTCCCTCACATATGTGTATGCTCTTTCTCTTTCAAAGTAAATAAATGAACATTAAATTTTTTTAGAAATCAGTAAAAGTATTACCTCAAAATGTTTTGACTGGTATTTAAAACAACACATACACATAGCCCCAAATGGCAGCATCATCCCTAGCTGAACTTAGTAATATTTTTATTATTAATTCATAGATTAGAGGATTTGATATTTTGTAGCCATTTCTTATTTTTCTATTTCTTTTTAACTTTATTTCATTTTTGATATTCTTTACTGTTCAAATATTTCTGAATTTTATGCAGTCGAAGTAAGTTTTTCCTTTTATGAAAAACATAAAGATCCTTCTTGGGCATTTATTACATCTAGCAACCTGCTGGGTACTGGAGACCCAAGATGGCTGGCCCTGTGTCACTGTCCCCGGGGGGTGGGGAGACAAGGGGAAGAGGTGGAGGGGACAGACATGTAAACGAATTATTGTTGTATGACGCAGTACGTGTAATTACAGGGGCAGGTGGGCAGCCTCACGGGATTGCTGCAGGAGTGGCAGATTCTATCTGGAGGGGTTAAAGCAAGAGGGGCAAACTTGGAGCTGAATTTTTAAAAAGATTTAGAAATTCAGTGTCACTGTGGGTTATGTACTATGTGCAAACAGCATTAGCAAGTCTGTGCTCTTGCCTGTCTTGAATTTTGCCAAGAAATTTAGCAAGGGTTGTCCCCAGAAAGCCTCTTCTATGGTCCTTGGAAAGTAGTCTAAACTGTGAGTCGGAAGCCTGGAATTTTATACCCAGATCTTGCATTTGCTAAACAAATGGTTTGGGTCTCAGTTTTTGTAAAAATGGCAATTGATCATAATCATCCTGCTTCCTTCATAGGAAAATTAGTAAAGATTGAATTAGAGCATGTATGTGCAAACACCAGGGCACTCTACAAATTAACTGAGGTCACAACATTCCTCTTCTGAGTTGCCCAGGGCCAATGTTAATTACTACTACATATTAAAAGGACAGATTAAGCAGACTAATAAAAATGTTTGATGCCTTAGAGTTTCATAGCACCTCTCCTCTGAAGCTGGGCACCCCTGTTCCCTCCTTAGGCCTTCCAGGGTCTTTCCAGGATAACCATGGCCTGTGTCATTACCCCACACTTGTGGAAGAATGGGGAGGATCAGGTAGAAGGCCCAAGATCGACAGGCAGAGTGAGGACTGGAGCTCCGGCCCTTGTCTTCAGACCATTTCCTGGTACACAGAGTGCACAGAGCTCCGGGCAGGAATGATCATGGTGCTTTCTCAAACTATTTCATTTTTTAAAAATAAGTGTTTTTTCTTTTAAGTTTATTTATTTATTTTAAGAAAGAGAGAGAGCACATGAGTTTGGTAGGGGCAGAGAGAGAGAGAGAATCCCAAGCAGGCTCCACACTATTAGAGTGGAGCCTGATGGGGGGCTCAAACTCATAAACTACGAGATCATAACCTGAGCCAAAATCAAGAGTCAGACACTTAAAAGACTGAGCTACCCAGGTGCCCCTCTCACAAACTATTTCAAAAGTCGCCCAGAACAGATAAAGATGTATTTGTTCTAATTACAGATGTTCAACAGTAAGGCTCATTCTCTTCAATATTCAACTGGAATTAAAAACAAACAAACAAACAGGAGCGTCTGGGTGAGTCAGTCCTTTAAGCATCAGGTTCTTGGTTTCATCTCAGGTCATGATCTCATGGAACATGAGCCCTCAGTGGGGGCTGTCAAGACATAGCCCTCTTCAGATTCTGTCTGTCTGTCTCTCTCTCTGTCCCCCTCAACTCATGCGCTCTCTGTCTCTCAAAATAAATGAACATTTAGAAAACAAACAAACAAAGCATGCCTTGAAAATGTAAAAGGAGGGGTGCCTGGGTGGCTCAGTCGTTTGAGTGCCTGACTTTGGCTCAAGTCATGATCTCATGGTTCATGGGTTCGAGCCCTATGTCACAGTCTGTGCTGACAGCTCAGAGCCAGCAGCCTGCTTCGACAGCCAACAGCCTGTCTGTCTCCCTCTCTCTGCCCCTCCCCTGCTTGCGCTTTGTCTCTCTCTGTCTCTCAAAAATAAATAGATGTAAAAAAAATTTTTTTTAATTAAAAAACAGTTTTTAATGTAAAAGGAGAAAGCACTATGTGACTACCTCTCCTTGTCCCCCAGGCTCCACCCATTCCAGGCACGGAATATGCCTCCCCATCTCCACCTGTGGAAATTTACCCCAACCCTAAGCTCAGCTGCAATGCCACTCCCTGATCCCAGCTGCCAGAAACATTTCCCTCTCTTGAAATCCCAGGGCTTAGACTAGTGGGTGAGAACCCAGGCTCCCCAGGCAGTCTGTGTCTGAATCCCAGACCAAGTACTTACTAGCAGCCTCTCTACCTGTGGTCCCTTACCTGCAAGTGCATGGTGACGCTAAAAAACAAACAAACAGCAGCAACAACAAAATCATGGGCATTACAGGTTTATTAAAAAGATTAATAAGAGGGGCACCTGGGTGGCTCATTCAGTAAGCGTCTGACTCTTGATTTAGGCTCAGGTCATGATTTCACAGTTTGTCGGTTCAGGCCTGAGTCAGGCTCCATGATGACGGCATGGAGTCTGCTTGGGACTCTCTCTCTCCCCTCTCTCTCTGCCCCTCCCCACATGCTCGCGCTCTCTCTCTCTCTCTCTCTCGATTGTCCTCTCTCTCTCTCTCAAAATCAATAAATAAACATTAAAAAAATTAATAAGATGATGTGTGTAGAACACACTTAATGACACATGACAATACCCAATAAATATTAGCTGTCAAATTTTCACCTATTCGTTTTCAGGTTTTTCCTGTGCGCTAGGTAGCCAGTTCTCTGGGAATAGGAACTGCTGTCATGACACCCCTTGCCGAGTTAACACAACATCCCAGCTCTGCTGTTTATGAACTCTGTAGGCTGGGCCTGCCATTTAATTTCTGTGTCTCTGTCCCTCATCTGTAAAATGGGGATAAGATGAAACTTAAAGGCAATAAGGTATGTATACTTTAGCCATTATTTGGTGTTTAAGAGTCTATATTAAAATTATATTAAAGAGTTAAGGCTCTGATACCACGGTGTTTCTCTGACTGTATTTTTCTGACCTATAAAGTTGAAATTACAGATCAAAATTTGGAGAGAGAGACAGAGAGAGAAAATGCAGTGTGAGGATGTTCAGGGCTGGGAAAATAGCTGCAGGCAGTCTTATGAGATATACTCTCCACAAGAGACAGGAACCCCTCAACTCTGCTCTTACAAGAGGGCCACTACCTCCTCCCTGATGAAAGTGCGAAGGAGGAGGAGATGGGAAAAGCAGAGCAAGGAGGGGAAAGGCAAGGCAACACGGGAAATGAACAGGAGTGGCAGCAGAGGAAAAGAGAAGGGAGAAGAGAGGAAGGCAGAGACAGGAGAGGACAAGGGGACAAAAGAGATTTGGGAATAAGGAAGCCCTAACCTAGTGGCTGCCAGTTGGAGTGATCCAGCGCCTGGAGGTGTGGAAATTTAAGGGGGTGGTTGTATGTCCCAACAGTTGAAGTTTGGATATGGTGGATATCATGGAACTGTGGATGGTCCCACAACTAGATAGTCCCACATCCTGCTTAACCATTGAATTAATTCACGTAGGTGACAAAGTCAGGACCCCAGTCTATTTCCCACATTCACACAGTGTTTTCTCTGGGTTTTGATATAGGCTGAATATCCCCGCAACGCCACTAAATTGGAGGGAAAATTATATGTTGCTTTGTTGACAATTGTTTTTAATCAGGGAGAGCTTATGTGCTGTTTTGCTAATAACTTTACTTAGATTACTCACCACTGGAAAAATCTCATCTCCTGAGGTAAGGCTACTCTCGATAGGTGACTCACACCACACCCTGTATCAGCACATACTCACATTTGCAGATTCCACATATGGGTGCAAACATTTGACTACATCATTATGACTTTGCTATAGTTGGTCCTGAGCTATAAGTATCATACTATTTAGTTTCCATTTACTTTCCTTTTGTTCTTTCTTTATGATTCAGTTGGGCATAACATTGATTTTCAATTATGTGTATAAATAGATTAGGTTATCTAGGAAAGTCATTTTAGAATAGTCAAAAGAGTTTTAATAAAAAATTTTTTGTGGGCAGGAGGTTTTGGGGACGATGGGATTAAACTCCTATCCTAGAAACAATCCTGACCCATCCTTTCCCTAATCCATTTCCCTCTTGACCACTTCAACAGTAGGAGATGCTGGCCTATAGGAGCCCTCCCAAAAGAGGCACTGGACTCTGGCCCTCTCTTCCCTGGATCTCTGATATCTCATCCCAGATGTGTGCTGTGTAGGGAGGTAAGTAGACCTGCAGTCAATCACTGGCACTAATTTTATTGTATAATAACATGATATGAAAACAAAACATTTCATTTTGAAAATGTTGTGATATTTCTGGTTAGTGGGTCTAGTTGGAGAAAATGTGACTGCTTAAAAATGGTGCCCCTGTGGCCTAGATCATTCAAAGATCAAGAGGCCTCTGTAACATCAACAATCACAAATACTCCAGAGCTGGACTTCAGGGGCTCATTCCATCCCCTTCCTGCAGAGATGATCCTACAACCTTGGGCAAACACATAGATCCAAAATTTCCATTAGCTGAAAAGGCCATAAAAGCCATGCTTTTCAGTGAGGAAAACATGCCAAGGTTCAGATCCAGGATGGGAGTATTTCCCGGGTAGAAAGCCAACGGAGTAATGGTTAAGGAAAAGACTTTGCATCCAGACCACCTGGGTTCATAATCTTAGCCCTGGTGCTCATCAGCCCCGTGACCTCTGGTGACTTCTACTCATCGCTGCCATCAATTGGTTTGTTTGCTGTAAAGGGAGGAGAGAAATAACACCTGCCCAATAGGGTCCTTGTAAGAATAAAAATGGTATCTGCTGTCAAGCATCTGAAGAAGAGTTTGGCACACAGGAATCAATAAACGTTAGCTCTTAGAATTCTTCTGCCTGGGAAATTTCCTTCCTTTGACTCTAGCAATGCTTACGTGCGATTCTGCTCTACCAGGTACGTGGTGTTCTTTATGACCATGTCATCAAGTACAGATCAAATTAGAGGGGAAAGCTCTAAAGGAAAACAAAGACACCAGAGAATTCCTCTTTGACAGGCGTAGACTAAGACAAAAGGAGTTATGTGACCGCTAGCCATATATTCAGAAGAGTTTAGACAATACAGCGCTTTGTTATATTTCATGAGTTCATAGGACCCAAAGAAGCTAATACAGTAGAACAATAGCTGACATATCAGGTTTTTCAGTCATACTATCAGTTGCTGACAGGTTGC